GCCTTGTTTTCAAAGGAACAGATTCTGGAATATAATTTTCCATCTAGGTGTATTTTGTAGCAAATTTTGTAGCTATGGAACTGCAGAGTACACTAGATCATGATCAATCAATTCTTTTCCACAGAGTCCAGACCCTTAACTGTTGACTCTTTCCATGTGCTTTAATGGCATGATTCAAACATATATGGAACAGTACGTAGAAGCAACCATTTCCTCAAACAAATGCTGTGGTGAGCAGAACTTCAAGGCTGACTTTCATAGCTTTTTGGTGAAATATACTCTCAGTTTAGATGAATTTACTGTCAAAATGCTAAAGCCCATGGTCAGGCAGTCGGAACCAAGGATCAGAGCTTAAACAAAAGAATCAAAAGTCAAATGCCAAATGCCAGAACCAAGGGTCAAGATCTGAAACCAGACGTAAGGGTCAGGACCTGGATTACCTGAAGTCAGGGAAGACAAGAATTAGAATAGTTCCAAGACAGAAACAAGGCTAGAGAATGGTTGGGTACAGGGGAGGGGCAAGGCTAGAGCAGTACAGGAGCAGGACTTAAAGCAAAAACAAATACAGGGAGGCAGAGAATCCATGATCCTCTGCAGCTGCAGGTTTTAGGAGTAAGCCACTAGACTACCTTAGCCAATCAGAATACAGGACTACGTAGCACTTTAAAGACTAACAAGATGGTTTATTAGATGAGCTTTTGTGGGCCAGACCCACTTCCTCAGATCAAATAGTGGAAGAAAATTGTCACAACCATATATACCAAAGGATACAATTAAAAAAATGAACACATATGAAAAGGACAAATCAAATTCTAGAACAGAAGGGGGATGTGGGGGAGAAAGGTAAATATCTGTGAGCTAATGATATTAGAGGTGATAATTGGGGAAGGTATCTTTGTAATGGGTAAGATAACTAGATCCTTTGTTCAGACTCAGGTGTAAAGTGTTGAATTTAGCATAAATAACAGTTCAGAGGATTCTCTTTCAAGTGCAGTCTTAAAAGGCTTTTGAAGCAGGATGCAGGTAATTAAGTCGTTAAGACAATGTCCTTTCTGGTTGAAATAGAAAGAAACTGTTTTTTTCTTTGTGATCCTGTCTAATATCTGTTTTGTGGGCATTGATCCTTTGGCAAAGTGTGTGAGACGTTTGTCCAATGTACATAGCAGACAGACACTTTCGGTACATGATACCATAAATTATATTTCTGGATGCGCAGGAATGTGTGTTCTTGATCTTATAACTCACTTGGTTAGGTCCAATAATGGTATCAGCAGAGTGAATATGTGGACAAAGCTGGCAACGGGGTTTGTTGCAAGGAAGGTACCAGGGTTGGTATTAATGTGGTATGTCCTGTGGTTGTTGGTAAGAATTATCTTGAGGTTAGGTGGTTGTCTATAGGAGACTATGGGTCTGTCTCCCAGAGCCTCTTGGAGTGCTGTGGCTCAGATGTGCTCACTGGTTGCCTGACATCTGGGCAGGCACAACTGCAAGCCAAGGTAATTTGGATTACCAACACACTGGTGAAAGTCTGCCATTCCTTTCACTGCTGATGTTTTGAATAATCCTCTCCATTTTTGTTTTTTATGTCTAAGTAAAATAAATACAGGTTCATTTTACTTTCATTTCAGCAACTGTTTTGCCATTGTTATAATGATGTTCTACTGACACATTCAAGGTGTACACCACAACATTGTAGTTCAATGTTCTGTTACTTTTGACAGCAAGAAAATATCCTAAACCTTTTCTGCCATTGGTCTGGTCTTTCAGTTTTTAAACAGATTTCTTCTCATTAACCTTTGGAGACAGAAAGCTCTTTCAAGAGGACTTGAACTGTCATTTAAATGGCTTCTAAGCCAGACTGGTTCTCATTTCTTCAAGGAGGGTAATTTGCAGATGGAATAGCGGCCAATCTGAGGCCCCACCTACATAAAGGAATCATGGAAATGAATGTGAAAAATGAACAGGCACCTTCCAAGATTGTAGGATGGTAGTTCTTTTTGGAAAAAGACAAAGATGGAAGACCAGCAGTTCATAGAGTTGAAATATGAATTAGGAAAAGGAAGGAGACTGAATGAGCTACTGGGACCAAGTATACTTTTCATCATTGCTATTTAAGGATTGTTTCAATTAGATTCAGTTAGAAATGGATCGCACAAACTAATGTTTCTATACCAAGTCAACAAATGTGTCCACAATTAAGTCTCCCAATGATGAGTAACCAGAAAAGGCATTCAATTTCTAATTTCCATTTATTTCAATACTTCAGAGTGAGTTAATCTAGCAAAAATAAGTCCCCTCTGCTGTTAGTTTATTGGACATATAGTCTTTCACTGCTGCAACATTACTAGATTTAGATACAAGTGAAGGGAGTTAACTGAATTGTGATAAGTGTGCAAAAGCCTAACTGTAATTCTACTTGAAAACTTTTTTTGAAATAGTTTGGTTATGCTGTAAAATCCTATTTATTGCTAGACATATCCCTCCACAACTGTTTCTAGACAGTTCTAGTTAACCAAACGTATTTTAAGATCAAACTCAGAAGCAGCATAATTAAAAACTGGGACTGATCTTGCAACTTGCTGAAACCCTATTTGCCAACATTAAAAGGCACTCAGGACATTCACTGTATTTCAGGAAGTACTTCAAACCTTGCAGAATTATTTACACCAGGACCCCATATAAGTATCAGAATACATGGCCAAATTTCAATTATAACTAGGACATTTAAAAGAATACTCGAAAAATTAGTTCCTGTTTCAGCAAGAGTGTGTGTTTAACAGGTGAACAGAACAAAATGCAGTGCAAGGAATTCAGCTCCTGTGCTGCTTTTCACATTCAAGAGTTCATTCCCTGTTGCACAGGAAATACCAGAATCTAGTCATGACTCATATGAAGACTTTCTGTTCACCATGCGTTTTTAGTAAAAGTTGGCAATTACTGTTATAGAAATATTCATGGTACACACCTCCATTTTTGTGTGAAATTCACCCAGGTACAAGTGCAGGTGATCAGATAAGTTTTAGTAAATAAGAGCAGCCATATCCCTTCAAATGACTCCTGACAGCCAATTTATTTTGTAGAGATCATCCCTTCAGATATATGAACACTACGCCATCTCCTGGCTGAAGGAAAGGATGCTTTGACAGCTGGCAGCACATCAGAAGGTCGCTGCCTCCAGTATATTAATGATAAAAACAGAGGAGAAAAATATCAACTGAATTTTGTAAAAATATTTACATTTGTTTTTCTTTTTTATAAAATCAACTCATTTTTGCAAATCTGCTATAGCAATATATACAGGCAGTCCCCGAGTTACGCGGATCCGACTTATGTCGGATCCGCACTTACGAACGGGGCTCTCTCGCCCCGGAGCTCGCAAGCAGAGGGACCGCCCAGAGCGCAGCGGGACCGCCCAGAGCGCAGCGGGACCGCCCAGAGCGCAGCGGGACCGCCCAGAGCGCAGCGGGACCGCCCAGAGCGCAGCGGGACCGCCCAGAGCGCAGCGGGACCGCCCAGAGCGCAGCGGGACCGCCCAGAGCGCAGCGGGACCGCCCAGAGCGCAGCGGGACCGCCCAGAGCGCAGCGGGACCGCCCAGAGCGCAGCGGGACCGCCCAGAGCGCAGCGGGACCGCCCAGAGCGCAGCGGGACCGCCCAGAGCGCAGCGGGACCGCCCAGAGCGCAGCGGGACCGCCCAGAGCGCAGCGGGACCGCCCAGAGCGCAGCGGGACCGCCCAGAGCGCAGCGGGACCGCCCAGAGCGCAGCGGGACCGCCCAGAGCGCAGCGGGACCGCCCAGAGCGGATTCCAGGAAGCTGGGGGCAGAGCAATTCTGCCTCCAGCTTCCTGTAGTCAGCCCCTGGTCAGTTTCAGCAGCAGCGGCTGAATCTGGAGCCAGTTCCGACTTACATACAAATTCAACTTAAGAACAAACCTATAGTCCCTATCTTGTACGTAACCCGGGGACTGCCTGTACACACATTCTCCCTCCTCTCCCCTCCATGGCCTGGAAGTTTAATGCAGAGCTTGCATTAGGTAATATAGCACACTTGGATAAATAAGCACGAATTGCTCTTGAACAGATTACTTAACTTACAAATATGTGGTAACCGGCCAGTTTACTTCGGCTTCATTTTTATGGTATATACATAAAGACTATGATTTTGGCAGAGGCATTTTGCATGAATTTCACAGCAGAGGTATGGGTGGAAAAATCATGGCAAGGCCAAGGGTGCTGAAAGGTAAGGCCTGGGACTGGGAACTTGACAAGTGTTGGAGCGTAAGCCCACACCACACTGTGGCCAAAGCAGTAACCTCTATCCTGCAGAGCTGGTTCCAGCACCCTGCTCTAAGCATTATTACTTGGTGCTATGGTTGCAACACCAATCAGGCTCATCCCATCTCTCCCTCCACAAATGGAGACAGGATGATAGATGGGCCAAATATGAGTGGTGCATGTGAGGTGGCAACACTGCTGTTTCATTTATTTAAATGCACTTTATTTAAATTCACAATTTCTGTGACAAAATCATAGCCCTGGGTGGGCATCAGCCCCATCTAAGCAGAATTTTTTCAAAACTACATATACATACCAGTTACTCAGTGAGAAAAATATTTCTATATGTAGTGTATGGAACGGAGTGAATAAACCTATCCAAGAGCAAACCATTCTTGGGCATCTAGAAGTATTCTGAACCAGCAGAACTTGAAAGAGATCCTTTAAAAATTCACGATTTTCTTTGAAAAAAAAAGAAACCCCAGATACTCTTAGCAAAAATGGGAATATTCATTGGCATAGTTAACATTCAGTGCAGCTAATAATGAACATTAAAACCTGAATGCTTTTATCCCCCATTATCACTAATGGAATTTCACAAAATTTCAATATAATAAATTTGATACATGCTAAATGGTACAATTTTTACATTCTGTCTTCAATATTTCAACTGTCAATCTCTGCTTCAGTAAAAAGATTTGAATAAAAGGAACACAATTTTGAGGAGTGTGAAAACAAACTAGTTTCTTCAAATTGGATTTAGCTAGTACTTATTTGTGACAATGACAATTGACTTCAAGAAGATGTGCAGGGTTTCTGTATCACTATGTTAGTTCATAATTAACATTTGTTAAACTAATAGCTTTTGTAAACTGCTGCATAAGTCTAACACAGACAAAGTATTTTCTATATACAGACTGGCAGATGCATTGCTTTTTGTCTCTTAAAATTTGTCGTCGCATTATATGTTTTTGGTCATGATAATATAGCTTTGCTACACTACATTTGTCCTTAATGTTTATTCATCTTTAAAAATTATTTACATTACTTCCAAAAATCATTTAACCAAGCACTTTCATTTTAACATTTTTAGGTTCAAATTCTGACACTGAATTTAAATGAGCTAAATAAAAGTTAAATATTCAATTTTGTATTATCTAAAAGACATACAAAATAAGTTTCTGGTTCCAACAATACATATCTCCAAAGTAAAAAATTGACATCAATCTGAGAGGATTATCCAACATTAATATCCTTAAATAGGAACAAAGACACGTTATAACAAAGCACTTTTCATATAATTTAACACACAGAGACTTTGATTGAAGAGAGTTTGTAAATGGATCCAGGTTTCCTCTAGTTGGATTGACACTTTAGCGATTTCTTCCAGCAAGACTGGCTCTGATGAAATGATTTTAAGGTGCAACTGAAATGAAGACAGGTAAGTCAATTATTTAAATCCAAATGATTACACTTGGGGAAGGGGTATCAACTTTTCTGTTCACGCCACATTTTCTGTACAGTGATGCCCAAGTAATGCTATTTTCTCTCATACATTCAATTTAATGTTATCTTTGTCAGACCCTTTTCCCAATCAGTTATTCTGCTACTATTACATATGTATTAGCTAGAAGAATGCAGCAAATGTTCTCAAAAACAATGCCAAACCATGTATAAGAATGAAAAGGTGTGCTCATTGGGCAAGAAGAATGAAGCCAGACACTCTCCTCATATCTGGGGCCTGAGTATAGTGACTTCAAACAGTTAGCACATGTTGACCTGGAAAAAGGGACAGAGCTCAAAAATAAACTTTAATATCATGCAGGATAGCATATTGCACCACCATGGGCCTCAGTATAGCGTGAAGTCAATATGCAGCTATGCAGTAATGGTAGTCATAAATCATAGGCAAACAAAGGAGTAAGGAATGAGCAGCAGACACACAAGAGACCAGCAGGCTTGCCCGATAATGATAGCTTAAGCAGTCAGCATACATACAGGCCTTTTAGCCTGAAGAATAGTAGCTGCTCAATAAGTAAGCACAGGTAAGTTAGATCACAAGGTAAGAACGTAAGAATGGCCATACTGGGTCAGACCAAAGGTCCATCTAGCCCTATATGCTGTCTGCCAACAGTGGCCAGTAACCAGGTGTCCCAGAGGGGGTGGACCGAAGACAATGATCAAGCAATTTGTCTCTGGCCATCCTTCTTCAGCCTTTGACAAACAGAGGCCAGGGGCACCATTCCTTACCCCCCAGCTAATAGTCTTATATGGACCTAACCTCCATATATTTATCTAGCTCTTTTTTAAAACTCTGTTCTAGTCCTAGCCTTCACAGCCTCCTCTGGCAAGGAGTTCCACAGAATGACTGTGCTGTGTGAAGAAGAACTTTATTTTATTAGTTTCAAACCTGCTACCCATCAATTTCATTTGGTGTCCTCTAGTTCTTGTATTATGGGAACAAGTAAATAACATTTCTTTATTCACCCTCTCCATACCCCTAATGATTTTATATACCTCTATCATATCCCACCTCAGTCTCCTTTTTTCTAAACTGAAAAGATGGCACACAAACTGCTGACAGTGCTAGTTTATAGCAGCTGGGGATATTATTTAGGGACATCAACAAATGTCTGACAACAAGAATAGCATATGTGTCAATTAATTACCAAGATAATAAGCTGGAGGTAAAAAGATTAATGACCTGAAAGAGAATGGCATCACAGTATTAGAGGGTGAATAATTGCAAATGAAGAGGGACTGAACTCCCTACTGAATATGCATTAGGGATAGCGTTATCAGTGTAACACGTTAGAAAAGCTATATCCCAGCCTGAATGCCTGAGGTGAAATACCAAGATAACCATCATTGATGAAGGACATCATAGTGAGCAGGAAGATGACAACTAACACTTCATTTTGTTTTGCAAGAGATGGTGTAAGCATATGGATGCTTAGCTCAGAGTTCTCTGCCTGACTTGGTTACAGTGCATGTGACTTTTGCTAACTATTATAAATAGTGGTATTTCCTAAGTCTGAGTGGTGCAACTGTACACACTAGGGCTCCCAAATGAAGAGTAATTCTGCTAATATTGGGCCTGATCTTGGGACAAGAACCTATCAAATTTCAGAGTGCTATTTGCGGAAACTAAGTCGGTAATATAATCAATGTATAATCAAAAAATCAGGCAACAGTACCACTGAGCTAACTCTTCACTTTTCTAAACTCTACAATATATTATTGCTCAGGTATCACAAAAAGAACTTCCCCGGTTGGACTCTAAATCAAGTAAACATTTGTATTTGTAGAACTTAACAACTCCCTTGCTCTTCAATTTTAATCTCGGCAATGTTGTTATTAAATTGCCTCAATTAAATGGACACTAAACAGACGTTTGAATTGGGGGATGTAAAATGCTGTTTAATAATTGTTCAAACGCCGTGCTTCTACTAATCATTTAAATGGCTAAATGCAGAGAGGGGAGTTTGCAGGGGACTGCTCCAGCAGGGTTGGAGCAGCCCCTCTACCCACTAGGGTCGGGCTAAAGCGGCTCCTTGCTCCTCTCCCCCATGGAGGCTACCACCAGAGCTCCCAGCCCCCCTCCCAGCCTCATGGGAGGGGTGATGGCAGGGCTGGAGCAGTACTCCACCCACTCCCAGATACCGGTAACCCATTAGATTCACACTAGGGGTGTTAAAGACACAAAATTTTTAAAATTTGTAACTAATTCCTTTCCTACCCTATAGTACAATAAAAATAGTCTCTTATTTAGCATAATCTACATGCTTTAGCATAATTCAAAACAACTTTAAGAACCATTTTACTAAATAGCCAATTTTTTTTTTTTTTTTTAAAGGGAGTACTTGCTGCATACGACAACCTAATTTCCACACCACCTGGAGTACGCTGTCAACTCTGATGCTTAAGTCATAGTTTCTCAAAATCAGCAGACTAAGATGAAAACTGAAAAATACAGCCCCCAGTGTGAAAGGAACAAACAAAATCAAATGTTTATCCTCACAAAAATGTAGGTAAGTTATTTAACTACTTTTTAAGTAACTTTTGGTTAAGAGAAGCACTAAATCATACCGGGACAAAAAAACAAAAAGATCATAAGCAATGCATCATATGCAAGTGATTTTTAGGACTGTCAAGTGATTAAAAAATTTACTTGCGATTAATCATGTGCGCCTCCCCTTTGAAACGCCGCTGCGGTGTTTCCAAAGGGCAGCACAGTAGAAACCTGGGATCAGCTGGGGATTCCAGCTGACACCCGGCTCCGTGTTGCAAAGCCCCTCTGAAGTGCCGCTCTGGCATTTCAAAGGGGATTTGCAACAGCAGAGTTGGGGATCATCTGGGGACTCCAGCTGATCCCCGGTTCCGCCAGTACTGCCCCTTTGAAGAGCTGGAGCGGCACTTCAAAAGGGCAACACAGTATTAATGTCTGCAATTAATGAGTTAAAAAAATTAATGCATTAATCCTGTTTTGCATTAATTGCAGGCATTAATGCAGGTCAATTGACAGCCCTAGATTTTTTTTTAAATTGCTAGTATTGTCTTTGCCACCATCTCTACTTTTTCATGTAAGGTGCAGAGAATATATTCATATTGGTCAATGGCTACAGTAAATACTTTTATTAAACAAGAATCTTACCATGAAAGAAACTTTCCAAAGCAGGTCCATTCATTGTTGTGGTGACTATCTATTTTACAGTGCAACATACCATTATGATATACTAAGTAACAGTAACAATAACAATAATGATATCAAATGTATACAGTTACCTTTAAAAACAATGCAAGGTATGCCTGGGCCAGCTCAAAGTCACATTTCGAATTCAACATCGTCCCAATCAGTCTCAAAAAGCTTTTCATCACATCTAGAGAGCCACCACCTTCTGGAGCTAATCCTCTTAGCTCTGTCTCAATACCAGATGGTCCCATTTCCTTTAGAATACTAAGTGGAGACTTATCTGTGTTAAAGCAGTAAAAAAACCCAAACAAACTGTTAAACATTTGCAATGAAGAAACAGAAATATTCAGTACAAAAAATTCAGTATCTTTGAACAGCTATTTGGTGTAGGGATGTTAAATATAGGTTAACTGAATAGTCAAGTAACCTCCTGAATTCTTATCAGTTGCTCAACTATTCTACAGTCCCTGGGGTCAGGGCCAGCAGCAGCGTGGGGTGCTAGGCAGGAGCTAGTCCATGAGGGGAGTCAGTTTAAAAACCAGCTCCTCTTGAGGCCCCACTGCTTGTTGCCCTGTGCTGCTGCCTCTGATAAAGAGGCAGCAGTGCGGGGTGGCAGCAGCCACTGTCTGCAAGGGGACAGGGTTTGAGCTCCCAGAACTGGTGCACACCGGAACTGAGCTGGGCTGCGTGCCTGCCCAGCTCCTCATACACTTTACATGCAGAGCCACAGCAGGGATAGGTCCCCGCACCTGGCGTGAGCCAGAACTGAGCTGGGCTGTTGGCCAGCCTGCTAAAAAATGTATTGGTTGGGAGGGGAGAGGGAAATGTGTGTAGTCCATAGCATTAAAATATAAGCTTTTGCTTATCAGTTAATCAACTACACTATTACATCCCTAATTTGGTGGCATTCTGGATGAGTCTTCGTGATCTTAAATAGTCTTCGTCTGTTAATTCAAGTTTCTGAAGTTACTGAGAAGAGACTAACTTTCATTGTAATTTGTTAACTGATGTACTTTACATTATAATACAGCAGCTATATACAAGGCAAAAGTCACAAAGCTTATTTGTATAAAAAAAGTCACATTAAGATAATGCTGGTAAAATACAGCATCCAATTTCCTCAGACATTCTCAAACAAAAAGTACCATACATATACACAGCATATATACAGTTAGTATTCAGAGAATACTTGTAATTGTACAGGTCTTTACATTTATTTACACAACAGCTTTGAAAAGATCTAATATCATACTATGTACTGAGATACTAAATGTACTGCACAAAAATGTATACCTGACTATATTAGTTCCTGTATACAAAATAGGATACTTAAGATAAAACAATGTTTTATTAATCTCTCACATATTCTATCACCAACTAGAACTACTGCAGGGACTGTTAAACCAAAAAGCGACAGTTACCAAATGACAGAATATATCATGTAAAACAAACCTACTGGCACTAGAGGAAGGAAAAAAAGATGGATACATCTTGAATTTACTGATTCTGATAGTTTCTATAAATGAAACCCCAGGTTGGGTGATAATTGTGGTAGAGAGATGGAGGGGAAATAGCTCTCTCCATTCCTATACTCCCCAATCAATTGCACTGGGCCTGATTCCTACAGAATTCCCTTTGAAATCTATGGAAATTGCACAGGAAAGTGGCGGAAGATCAAGCTCAGTACTTGTCTGGAGAGACTTTTCTGTAGAAACTGGTTGAGAGGATAGCAGCACCTCAGTTCTCATTCTGACAACTTTATCATAGCCACAAAAAATACAAATGTCTGTTAAGCGAAAATTAAGTCTGCAGACTATTTTAGAATGCAGCAAAATGGCAGACTAAAAACTTGTCAATTTCTTCATGCTTGTGATCTAGTCCAAAACCTGAGGTTGAGTTCATTTTGCTGAATTTGGTCCTAAACTGTGCATAGCTTTTTTAAAAATAAATGAAAGGAGGATTTGTTTTATAATCTTATAATTCAAACTGCTGAAATTTTTTCACTCAAACTTAAAAAACCTCAGGATAGACAAAGTATAAAAAATATTGCAAATTGAGACCATGTGAAAAATATATGAGACTGTTACAATGGGAACCATTCTGCAACCCTATCAGGAACAGATTTAATTTGCCGGTCTATGTTTTCTGCAAATTTTATTTCTACCCAGTGTTAAATCTGAGATACATTCTTCCTTCATCTGAGTGTGACAGACTAAACTGCTCACTTCAAAAACATTATTTGAAGAGTCTAAAGAGCAGCAACAAATCTTAGCAAAGCTGGCTTGCCAACAAGTCTCTAATGACAACCTACTGATGTTCCAGTTCTGCTCTTTTAAATTAGCAATTGCTTCTCAAATCCTATTTTAAAGTGGCTCTGCAGTGGCACCAGTTAAACAAAGTTAAATGAGTCCACCAAGTATATGTATCTCTACAGGTGATTTGAAGCATTTCAATTTCAAAATGCAAAAAGCCAGGGGGAAGAACGCATAGTGCCTGTGAGGCCCTGGAGAGGCCCCCCTCCACCCCAGCGGCCTGGGGGAAGAACCAGGCTCAATCTTGCTCTGGCCTCCCTTCCTGGTGGCTGGGGAGGGGGGAGGAAAGAGCCAGGGCCAGTTGATGTGGGGGGAGAGGAGGGAGGGATAATGGGGGGCAAGAGTA